GTAGCATTATTTTACCAGCGTTGCCCAGTACAGCTGAACTAGCCTACACCATGTTACAGCACAGTAGCGCTACTGCAAACCGGAACAAGTAGGCCTATACTGCATAGAAATTTGCTGTCAGCGCGTTATTTGAGCGGACATTGCTTTTCCGATGAGCATGAGCGGTCGGTACACGAGCGGAACGCACATTCGTAGATTGGAATATTGAGCGGAGCGTCAAACCGCGCAGTGACGAGGAAACCATCTAGTGGATTGTAACGAAATAGTATAATAAAAGATCGATACTTGGCGTCCGTATATCGATACAGTATTGCCGTGGAAAATATCGCGATACTATGCTGTATCGATTTTTACCCCCACCCCTACTAGATGCACAGATCCAGTGTTGCCAACTTCTTTCAATAGAAAGTAGCTAAAGCCAGTTTGAAAAGTCGCTAAATGTCGCCAGATGACGTCATACACTAATTAGCATATTCATGACGTCAGCGCGTCTGTTGCCTTTTACATACTACATAACCAGCTCTCCCTTCCAAGACGTTAATCTGCACAAAAATTTTGCTTTATATTTGAGCCATCGTCTGATGAAATAAAACGCACATAAGAAAAGACAAGACACAGACAATTCCTGTGCTGTGATTTCGGCTATATGTGCATGTAAAATTAGAGAAGCAACATAATATCTATTTTAACTGAAGGCGCTGCTCCTCTCAGCCGCTCGCTGTACAGAGCAGACGCAGAGAGAGAGGTGTGTGCGCACTGACCTCGCGCCGTTGCGTCAGTACCAGCAATCACAGAGACTCGCTAAGGTTTGTCCAAGAAGTCGCTAGATTTGTCGCTAGTAGCTTTTTTGGAAAAAAAGTCGCCAAGGGGTCTGAAAAGTCGCTAAATCTAGCGACAAAGTCCTGTGCAGTGAAGAGCAGGGTTACGTTGCTCACTTTGATGGCACAGGCTGCACAGAGAGAACCACGGGTCAATAGCTTCCTGTCAGTGCAAGGTTTGTGTTTTCCCTCACAGTAATATAGGTCACGGCCTTTCTACCTGAACATTACTGGAAATGTGCTGAGCCAGCTAGGGCAGAAAAACCAGCACACTGCATATTCATCTTTTTGCTCTTCTGTGTCCTGTAGAGCAACTAATCATGCTAGTTTAGAGCCTTCTCGGTATCTGCAACACAGGAAATCAGTTTTTCCTTTACAACCCCGTGTTATATATATATACCGTTATAAAGTTTGTGGTCAGTAAGATTTTGTAATGTTTTTTTAGTAATATTCAACATTTATTCTTCATAAGTATGGTAAAAATAGTAATATTGTAGAATATTATTACAATTAAATACAACTGTTATCAATTTTTATATATTTTCAAAAGTAATAGATTTGTGTGATAGATTTATAACAGATTTTTGTGGAAACCATGATATTTCTTTCATGATTCTGTGATGAATAGAAAATTCAAAAGACCAGCATATCATTTTTTTGTAACATTATAAATATATTTACTCTCAGTTTTGATCAATTTGAATGCATCACTGCTAAATAAATGTATTAATTTATTTAAGATAAAATCGTTTTGCCCCCAATCTTTTGAATGGCAGAGTAAATTATATTGTTTAATTACAATAAATTATTATTGCCTTATTTTACTTCTTATTGCTTTTACATCCATAATCTGACACATGTCCAAATGAAATGTAAAATGCAGGGTGGGACATTTTATGCACTAAACAATTAATTGAATCACATAAATGCAAAACCAATACTAATTTAGGACGTATAGCATGATCTATAATAATTCTTGAATGTATTGTTTTTAAAAATGTTTTAACAAAAAAAAAAAAGGTTAGAAATAACACTGTCTGTCTATTACTTACAGAACTTACACAGGAACTCAACATGAAGCCCCCAGGCAGGAGTGAAGCAGGTGAGCTCTGTTTCCTTCCAAAAAATGTTCTTTCATGTATTTGTGAGCAGAGTTTTTGTATTTTTAGCACGGGTGTTCAGTTGTACACAGCAACAACAGCAGTAGGTCTATTTAATACAACAGCATCTAGTATCTAGGTTATATGGTATATCTAGGTAGATGTTGATATTTGTTACTAGATCACATTTGAAAGACTTTGGCAAGCATGAATACATCATAGTGACTCTGATAATAAATACAATTATCCACTCGACACTTCTTTTGTTGTTACAATTCCATATAATCTTCCAAGTGATTAGATTTGAGGCAAATGTTTTTTTAAATGACTGTGTCTTTGTGATAATTTATCTAAAAAGCAAACCAATCGCACATTAAGAGGCCACTCATTGTTAAGCAGTAGACGACTCCTCTCCATACTGCAGGACATCCCTCTCTCCTCCAGCCCGACGCAGCCTCATTCGCCCACAAATTGATCCTGCCTGCGTTTTCCTCTGCTCTTGCTGCACAGTCCCAGTGGGGGTGTCCAATTACAGCTTGTTTTTTTGCTGAGACAAAGTTGGGCAAGGAGACAGAGAGGAATAGCACAAGAAAACTGAGAATAGGAGAGAAAAAAAGAGATTTGTAAATTATAATCAGTGGTGGGAAGTTTTAAAATCTATTTGTGTGAATCATTTACTAATCATGTAACCAGTTACCACAATATGAGCATAATATACACTACCAAGTTTGGCATCAGTAAGAATTTTTGTTTGTAACTTTTCATCAAAGAATCATTATATATATATATATATATATAGAGAGAGAGAGAGAGTTTGCAAAAACCGATAGCTTTAAAACTGTTCAAAAATCATGTTTTATTCTGCATTCCAATTAATATCAATCAAACTGCAGTTGGGTTGTTTTGATTGAATAATAACAAAAAAAAATGCAGCTAACTAACACAATAAGAAACATGATGACAATAAAAAACATGATTTATGAAAATTAATAAAAACAGAGTTATCTGTTTTTGCAAATAAACTCTTCATATACTTTTTGAAAACTTTTTGAATTTGAAGATCAGGGTAAATTTAACTTATTTTGTCTTCTGGGAAACATGTAACTATCTTCTGTAGCCTCTGAAAGGCAGTACTAAATGAACAATATGATATTTAGGCAAAATAAGAAAAATGTACACATCTCCATTCTGTTCAAAAGTTTTCTCCCCCCGGCTCTTGATGCATGTTTTTTTTTCTTCTGGAGCATCAGTGAGCATTTAAAATTTCTGTAATAGTTGCATATGAGTCCCTCAGTTGTCCGCAGTGTGAAAAGATGGCTCTCAAACCCATACAGTCATTGTTGGAAAGGGTTCAAATACACAAAAATGCTGGAAAACCAAAGAATTTGTGGGACCTGAAGGATTTTTCTGAAGAACAGCAGGCAGTTTAACTGTTCAGGACAAACAAGGGACTCATGAACAACTATCACTAAACAAAAAAACACAGCTGTGGATCATTCAGGTTAGAACACAGAATTAAGAATCAAGGGGATGTAAACTTTTGAACGGGCTCATTTTTATACATTCAACTATTATTTTCTCTTGTGGACTATATATGTAAACATCTTTTATGTGAAATATCTTATTCAGGTCAGTAATAAATAAACAATTACATGCATTTTGTATGATCCCTCTTATTTTAGTAAAATAATTAACATTTTGCAGATTTTGACCTCAACTGTATGTGTGTGTGTGTGTGTGTATATATATATATATATATATATATATAGAAGATCTATATAGAATCCAATATTCTGCAACACAACTGTTTTCAACGTTGATAATAGTAAGGATCATGTGACTGAAAAACTGAAAACTGGAGTAACAGCTGCTGAAAATTCAGCTTTACCGTCACATGAATGAATACCTTTATTTTAATGTCTTCCGTACTGCAACAAAGCTGTTCGAAGTAAATTGGCCTACTTGCAAAGTTTCCAGCATCAAGGTCGTTAGCGTGATATTTCTTTTCTACAAGTTCAATAAACAAGAAGTTAATAATGTGTATACTTATATTTAAGACACATTATTAACAATATTTTATGTATTTGTGCTCTGCCAGCGATGATAACTCTGAACAAATGTATAATAAACCTTTATGTCACTGAGCAACACATACATAGCACTTGTGTTCCCGAATAATTATTGTGTTGATTAAATAATTCAATTAATAAACTCATGTCGCCACCTACTGGCGTAACAGTGTAACCTGCAGTCATTAAAAAATAAACATACTTAACAGTATGTTCAGAACGCAGATGCACAGGCAAGCGGAAAAGTGAAAGATTTAATGCTGAAATAAAATACTTTTATTTCCCACGAACAGGAAAAATAAACTGCTGAAATAACTGCAGCATGTCAAAAATAGAAACAGGGCGTGTTAACTGATGCTGCGTCGTGACTAGCGAAGCCTGCTTACAATGTAATACTTCTTTGCTGTGAATGATTATTCATCTGAGATCAAACATCAGCATGTTTTGGATGTGTTAGTTTAGTCTTCAAAGAAGCCCAAAGGAGCAAACACTCTTTGATGAAGGAAATGATTTCATAATTTACAAGCATATTGCTTGCACAATGTGAGTATTAAATGAACAATACTCATCATTTTTTGAGGTCTATCGCTTCTTATCTGCACAAATGCCTTTGTCAACTGATTGTTGTCGACATCTCAGTTTCATTACACATTCTATTAAAAGAGTCAGAGGCAGCAAAGAGTGAACTCAATGAGGAACAGTGGAGAGATCAGATTTAGGGATCGGATAACACAGCATTTTCTATAGCCACATTATGAGCTCATCTCAGTCTGGACACATGGGGTGGGACTGATAGGCTGGCTGTGAATTCAGGACATTCTGGACAAGCTGATAGACAGAACTGTCTTCTGGCAGAGTTGCAATAAAATGTAAAAAGCGAGAGAGACAGAAATGAGGGAAAGATGTTGAGCTCACAGTACGAGGTCATCAGGTTCATGTGGATCAGGTGTAGAACGTCTGACACAGATTCCTGTAACTCATTTTCAGTCTACTTAGCCTGTCATTTATCTGAAAGACATTACATTAATGTGAGTGTAAAGACGCTTTCAACTGGAAAATACATGTTTTGTCCTTCATTTGTTTGATTGTAGTTAAATTGCATGTTATATGGCAGCTGCTCTTCATACTTCCATGTAATTCTATAGCACATTTTCTTACTCATAATTTATAGTAATATGAGCGTGATTTAAGATTTGTTAATAGTGCAGTATATCTTTAGATTTATTCATTTAGCAGACACGTTTTTCCAAAGTGAGTTTCTAATGAGAATTTTTGCTGTGTGTCAGCGATTTACTTTACATTTGCTCTATGCTTTGTGGGCACCGTAGTCAAGCATGCTCAGGGAGGTCTTGTCCTATAGACATTTCATGCGTCTGATAACCCTGAACACCCTGCCAGTAGCCAGACCAGAGTTGAGATTAGTTGATTTGGATTTGCTCAGTTTTGTCTACTTTCCTCTCCCACATCCAATTACCTTTTAGATCGCAGATTAGTTCGAAATGTGCTTTTACGGCTAAATCTGATTTTATACGGAGAGGCTTGTACATATTAGTCATGCCTGTTTTCATGTCACAAGGTGGATCACACATAAGATCATACACTCATTTGTACAGTAGAGAGTGTGGTGTTTAGCTTCTGGGTCTTCACTTTCTCTAGTTTATGTTTAAGCTGCATGTAAAACGGGCTAAACTCGAGATGTGAATTACAGGGGGGTTTGATCCCCCCACTTAAGGCTTGGACCCACCAAACAAGGTCAAAAATGTAAAAGAGTTTTCAAAAGTATATATACACTGTTAAAAATGACTGTAAATGCTACAGTAAAAACCTGTTAAATGGTTAACGTTAAATTCCCCTATTATATACAGTGAAAATATAATATAATTGGATTTATTAAAATATAATTGGACATTACATGTATTGGACATTAATTTTACGGTAGTATACAGTTTTTGGAAGTGAAAAAGACTGTATAATTTACAGAGAATAACCGTAAATTGACATTCCCAGAATTCCCTGCATTACATTTCAAATCTGATGTTTTTTTGCTGAAATAACTGTTTCTTCTTAGTTTTTTCTTATCAGTTTTGTATATTAGGGTTGAGTGTTACACCTAATGTTGTTAAATGAATGTTTATTGCATTATTTCAGTTTCATGTGTGTTACCGTGATGGTGTTTGGTGTTTGTGTGAATGACACTGTGCACCTTCTATATATGTTATTATTTAAAAGCTGCTTGTGATGGGCTTTGGTTCATCATGTGACTTTCTCATCACCACCTGCATTTGGTGGTTATCAGTGTATTACAGAGGTACAAAACAGATTTCAGTACTTCAATAGGTTGGTATATTAACATTATATCAGTTAATGAAATTACGGTATTTAACTGTAAATTTAAGTTAAAACCGTAAAACCTAAAACATTGCTACCGTATTTTTTTACGGTAAAATTCCGGCAACCACAGCTGTCGTTTTTTTTTTTACAGTGTACCAAATGTTTTAATTACACATTTTATACACTACATTTAAAAAAAATAATAAATGAATACTTCTTTCAGCATGGATGCATTAAAGTAATCAAAAGTGATAATAAAGACATTTATAATGTTACAAATGTTTTCCATTTAAAATAAATGTTTGTTTGTTTGGGGGGGGGGGGCATGGGGGGGATCATGGTTTCCACAAAAATATTAAGCAGCACAACTGTTTTCGACATTGATAATAATAATAAATATTTCTTGAGTTGCAAATCAGCATATTAGAATAATTTCTTAAAGACCATGTGACACTGAAGACTGGAGCAGTGACTGCTGAAAATAAAGCTATGCCATCACAGGAACAAATTACATTTTAAAATACATTCAAATAGAAAACAGTTATTATTTCACATTATTGCTTGGTGTGCATAAGAGACCTTATTCAAAAACATTTAAAAATCTTATAGACACTATATAATGAACAGTTCAACAATGTTTTTTAATGTTTTCACATTTCACATTGTTGTAGAATAAAGTTGATAACGTGGATAAAACATTGATTTCTCAATATATTTAAGATTTACAGATCACAAGTATGTCACACAATATTTTAGTATTATTTAAATGATATTTATACAATATAATATATTGGATTATACTGCAATATATTTGTTCAATATACAATATATTATCTATACAATATAATATAATTTTATTCAAAATGTCTCTAAGATTGTCTGTTGATGTTGACAAATTTGCTTGGGGCTTCCAAAGACAATTTAAGTTGTTCAAGATGAACTTGAAACAATCATGCCATGACTATCATTTCCTATAGATATTCCTGTAAAAACTCAACCTTCTGAAAGTTGTATAATAAACAGTGCTTGGACTAACTGACCATGTCTGTAGTTCATTGAATCATTAATCACACTTAATCGAGTTTTATTACAATAAATGTGTCTGTTCTATATGTATTCCAGAGGTGAAAGAGGAAGAGGAGCAGCTGGAAGCTCGTTGTGGGGAGGTGGAGGAGCATCTGCAGGAGCAACAACAGATCCAGAGTGATCTGCGATGGGAGCTGAGTCAGAAGTCGGTCCTGGTGGGTGCTCTCCGCGCCAGTCTGAAGGAAAAGGAGCGCCATTTCCTGGAGGAATTAAAACACCGCAGCCACAGGACCACTGCGCTCAACACCGAGCTGCAGAAGCAGACGGAGGCGGCTGCGTACCTGTCCTTCCAGCTGCATTCAGCCAAGCAGAAACTCCAGGAGCAGAAGCTGCAGCAACGCAGGAGGCTGGCCCAGCCCGGTGCAGACAAGCCTCCCATCTACCCTTCGCCTCAGGCCAGTGCCAGCAGCCCGACCACCATCAAACCCAAACGACGGAGCTCGAGCCGGCTCTCCTCGAATCTCCGCACCGAACGCGCCAGGGAGTGTGTGCCACGCGAGAGGGTGACAGGCCCCGAGGAGCCGATGGCCATGCCTGACCCCGCCCTCTTCCTCTACCCCTACAGACACAGATCCCGGCTCCGCCCACCACACAGACATGCCTTGCAGGAAGCAGAGGGGGAGGAGTCAGAGGAGCTCGATCAGGGAGCTTCAGTAAGCAGACTGGCAACAACAGTAGCTAAAGCCACTGCGACCACTGCATCCACCACAGAGAACAACGCTGAATGAGTGTTTCTTTTACAGTTCGACCTGCTTGTTTTTATGATATCTAAACCTGAATTGCACCTTGAGCCCCTTGGGAGAAACTTTCCATTATGACAGTGACAGAAACGTTTATATTTGCAACACGGTTTGCTTTTTTTACAGTTTGCACATGCAGTGATTATTAGACCGAGGAGAGATTTTTGCTTACGTTCTTGTTGAACCAAAATCGACTCGTGATTATGTTGCTGTAAGGCATTTTCGTAATCAAAAATGACCCTGAGGGCCTCACTACACGAACATGAAGTGCTTCATAAGGCCTGTTTTATGCATCCTGCATCTGCAGTGTGTAGTTTTTTCACTGGCTATATTAACAGGTTATAGCATTTACACTGACATTTGTGCTGCCCTTACATTAACTGCTGTTCTTTTCATATTATACTACGTCTGTCGTCGCTGATTAAGTTGCAGACAGGTATAGATAGGTAGATATTTAATGTAGCAATGAAATGAAAGCAGCAACTGATATTTTCTTCTGTATTGTGATGTACACCCATGCAAGTGTAACAGGTTATCGAAATAGAATGAAATGCAGAGCGGGGACTAGGTTCTAGCCATCGGTTGTTGATGGGATTTTGGGATGTGGCCATTGCGCTCAAAATAAATGCTAACTTGCAGTCAGTCTTGGAGGGGTGGAATTTAAGTGGACTAAATGATTGGTGAAACCCTGTATTAGTCACCAGAGAGAAGCCTGTCGTTTTCACTGGAAGAAAAATGGCACAAGGAAAAAAAAATCGTGTGTAAAAAAAATACACAAACATGCATTTACCAAAAAACAGGATGAATTTTCATATCATACTGAATTTAACATATACTTATTCTTCTTAATATCTCTTGGACATCTGTGCACTTATTCACAGTTGGCAGGTTTAGGTGTGTGGGGTAGGTGCGTGTTATATGTAGGCCTACGCCAAAATGCTTATTATATGCATGCCAACAAAGTGCGTATCATATGCACGCAAAAACTGTGAATTATATGCACGTCAAACACGTGCGTTTCATATGCACGCCAAAGTCAGTTTCTGTTAATAAATAGCACGTAAAATAAAAAAAATTGTGCTATTGATACGCATTTTCAGTGCAGTATTGCGTATTCTTTGCCTTTTCTCTTTATTCTGCTCTCGCAATAACAACTGAGCTATTTTATTAATTAGTATCAATCAATATCACATTATCTATCAAAGTATTTGACCGTCTTATACAGAAATCTCTAATTTTTCTTCCTAAAGAGAGCGCTGTAAACGTTTACATTGACTTAATTTCAGCTTCCGTTAATCGTGGATCGTGAAGAAAGGAAATGCAAGAAAGGCTAGAATGCATGTTGAATGATCCCGACGTTTTAAATTCGGTAAATGACAGAGATGTTTTAGTTAGTAATAAAGTGCTGATTTGCATTTTACGTGTATAAGTACGATCGGAACCCTGATCACACCATGCATTTTAAAGTAAATGCAGTTCAGTTAAGAACCGGATATGAACCACGTTCATGCCAGATCCCACAGCACAAAACACGTTTAAAATGCAGGATAAATCTATTTATTTATTTATTAGCATTATAGTCATTGATGATTTTTTTTTTTTTAAGCCTATAAAAGATGTCTGTCATTGTGTATGTTCAGTAAATCTGAATCAGAAATTCTAAATTTCAAAGGTGTTTGGCTTTCATGCAAATTGCCATTTGGATGCAAATGCAGTCACCTCTTCATTTAAAGTAATAATTCCTAATTGCACACTTCCAATAACCATTTTAAACATTTTAGCCTTTATTAAAAGGAAAATGCAATGTAGTAACCCAGAAATCACTTTATTTAGAGCCGCCGAAGCACTGTCAGTGTGAAAGCGTGACCCTGCTGTTTACTTGCTGCATACGCAGGATGTGCGAAACAGGCTGAAGTCAGTGTCCTTGTGAACTTGTTACTGCTGAGTCTTTGTTCAGCTGGGTTTTTTTTAATCTGTATGCCCTTGTTGTGGAATAGCTCATCTCAGATATTTCTGAATGATCAGGTTGTCTGTCTGGTGTCACCACAAGTGCACTCTCTGAACCCTCCAGATGCGATGGGGATTTTATCCCCTAAATACTGCTTCAGTCAGACAGATAAATCCTGTGTGAATGAGATCTATACAGCCTGAATCATTTGCTTAAGTGCTTCTGGTATATAGTGTGTTTATATGTGGGCTTGTTGATTAGAAGAGAGTGGGCTCAAGGGTCAACGCACCATTGTTCTGCCATCATTAAATGAGCCAGTGATGCCCAAAGGACTGATTAGCTTATGCTGCTTATGCTGTAATGTTTTAGTCTGATGTTGCAGATAACATGTTTGCATTTGTGTCATTAGAATCACAATGCTGTTTGTTTTATAATTCTGTGTGGGCAGGTATATGTGCATATACCAGGAGATTTAATGATTAATAGCAATGTGATACATATTGCAAACATATTAAGTGTTTGTATAGCAAAAGCTTGTAAATTCATAATATGCAAGATTAGATGTGGTGTGGTATAAACTGAGGCATAACTCCTGCTCTTAGATGTATAACTAAGAGAGGATCAGTCCATGGAAATGGAAATAGGACTGGATGAGAGTGACAGGCAACTTTCTTGACAATTAACAGACACTAATAAGTTTAAAGGAATAGTTCTCTCAAATTAAAATTTGCTGATATTGTGCCCACCCTCAGGCAATCCAAGATATAGATGAGTTTATTTCTTCATCAGAACAGATTTGGAGCAATTTAGCATTACATCTCTTTCTCACCAATGGATCCTCTGCAGTGAATGGGTGCCGTCAGAATGAGAGCATCAAAATAATCCACACGACTCCAGTCCATCAATTAATGTCTTGTGAAAGCCATGTCGTTGTAAGAAACAAACCCATCATTAACTTTAAACCATCACTTTTGTCCAAAATATGAGTCCATAATAACGCTTCCTCCAGTGGAAAAAGTCCACCCCCTGTTGTCCTCTCATAACAAAATCCACCAACATATTTGTTTAGAAATGTTTTGGACTGTTTCTGCTTGTAAACAGTGCTTGAGCTGTGCATATTCCTCTTCGGATTTAGACAAGAAGACACTACTGGAGAAAGCAATATCATGGATAGGGGACTTGTATTATAAATTAACCATAAGCAATAATTTGAAGTTAAAGCACGTTGATGGATTTATTTCTCACAAACATGATGTACTGGATTCATGTGGATTACTTGTGGATTATTGTAATGTTTTTATCAGCTGTTTGGACTCTCATTCTGACGGCACCCATTCACTGCAGAGGATCCATTGGGGAGCAAGTGATGCAATGCTAGATTTCTCTCAAATTGTCATTTTCGGGTGAACTATTCTTTTAATAATGGGGCCTAAAAAGTAGGCTATACTATAGAGGACCTTTGTGTCACAAGCCTGTGACAACAAACATCATTTTGCAAAATAATGTGACAGTAAAAGATTTAGTAGCATCTGTTTGAAACTGAGCTTTTCTAAAGATATTTACAATTGTATATGTGGTATTTCTCTTTGCTTTATTAGATCAGATGATAAATTTGCTTTGAATATTGAATATATGGTTGTTAAAAATCTTAATATGATCAGCAGCCCTCACAGGGATTGTTACTGAATGCATAAGATGTTTTCCTTTCATCTTAAAATTGTGTCTAATTTGACACAACCCTAACAAAGTGATATTTGCTTCACTCAGGGTCTGAAACCTTATTTTGTAAATGTATACACATATGCCTGACACTATTTAAAAGGCCTATAACCAGTTTTTGTATTGTATCAGTGCAGAGATAAGGAGGATTTAGAATGCAAGTAGGTTGTGTTAGACTGTGATACATCATATAATCACATCCACTAGTTAATTAATAGATTTCTGTTTTTCAATTTAATGATTCATCTTGGAAACATATTGATGCTAATGAAATGCTTAATTGTTCTTAAGTTAATAATTGTGATGTTAAAGAGATAAGCAATACTGCCTCACAAGATGACTTCTACATAATTATATTTACAACATACATTTTTGAACATTATGGTGAATTGCAAACCATAATCCATAGATACAGTACATGCAATATCTGTTTTTGTCTGATGTTATTTTGTAGTCCCCATTTTCATGAGCAGCGTGCTTACCAAGATTTGATTTTATTTGGCTTTTTTGTCCTTAAGTATGGAATAACTTGTCTTCCCTTAAACTGACTGTTATGTGGTAGAGGTTTTAAAACAGCTATATAAGTTGTCTTGTTTTAAAGGACAGGAATATGACTGGGAAAGAATTGATTAGAACCAAATTCCATGGGAAACTGCAGTAATGTTAACACACTGTATTTGCATGTTTGGCCAATGGCCAATAACAGACATCAGTGTCCTGTTTCACAAACAATTCGGAAAGTCTTGAAATGTACACAGTAATTTAAACGGCACACAGAAAATTGTGCAACAATAATGTTGCAATAAATAATCCACTGCTTACTCTATAATATGATTAAATGGCTTTATTAAACCACTGTGTCAGTTGTTATTCATTTATACATTTATTATTTATTATTATACACAACATTTATTCCGTTGTTAACTTCATTTAAGTTGTAAATAAGACAGATTATTAGAGAATTCAGTGAAAGAAAGGTGATTTTCATTTTTTTTTAAATGCCATTTAAAAAATATTTGTAGACAAAAGACATTCCCAAAATGAATGAATCATGACTGCAACAAACCAAAATGGGACACATAAAATTTAAATAAACATCCCTATTAGTAAAACTCATTTAAAAAAAAATGTAATACACAAAGATATGTTCCGATATATGACTTCATTGCAAGGTTAGAATATGCCTGAGATTTCAGGAACTTTGACACAATCACAACATAGCTTTTTTATTAAACATGATAAACGAATTACACATTTATAATTGCATTCATAAGTGCAAATAAATAATTAATAAAGCAAGGCACACCAATAGAATTTGGGGTAAAATGTGCAAATGAACAAATATGGGACTTTTCATTCATCTTAAATATCATTCTTGCAAAATTGCAGGCCTGTTAACTCTTAGATATTGGAAATGATGGATAATAGCTACAAGTAAAACACAGGTTTTGTCTTCATGCACTTACATTTATGGATAAAGAATTGACCTAGAATTAACATTGCAAATACAATATGGTATAAATAAAAAATAAAAAGGATCCAATTACTGCTTCCACAAATTCACTTGAAGGATATATAGGCTTACCATTCAATATTTTAAAGTGGGTTTAAAACAATTATTTGTAACATTTTTGTAAGTGTTTTACTGGATCGTTTTTAAACCGGATCTTTGAAAAGAACCGGACCTGCAATTACTATTGTTTTTGAGGTATAATGCAGACACTTTTATCTTTTTATATTTTATTTACAGCCAGGAATTTCAAATCTGGTTCACGTAACATATTTTAATGAACTGTTTTTAACGCACCAAACATCTAACGTTAAACCGAGTCAGCAAAACGCTCTTCTCCAAATGGAGCTATCGGGCTGCCGTAGCCGTGCGTGTTTGGTGGGTGGGACAAATACAAAGGCAAGCAGGTCAAGAGGAGGAGAAACCACGTGTGACAGCCAGGCTGAGAACTGTCCTTCGCAAGTTAAGTTGTTTTTGTAATATCTTTGCATGTAACTTCCGTCTGACGGAGAAGGCCATACAACAGACCCGCATCACAGCCCTCAGCGACGGACATCTGTTGCTAACTCCGAA